AAAACTTTCTGGGACAAGCCCTAGTTTCAAATAATGATGAACCAGGATGACTATGAATTGGAATAAAACTTAAAAGTCGGTAAAATGTGTCCTTTTCTGCAATATCTAACAACAATTGCTAACTGGTCGACATGCGCCACAGGGGGAGATGAGTCCACTACCAACGAAAAATACTTTGAAGCTTGTTCATTTATTTGGTCGACAATATTTTGTTGAACTTTTTTCCCCATAATTTCAATAATTTCCTCATAGAGGGTCTTGGACATATAGCTAGAGGATTTACATTGACCCGATTAACATTTTACTATATGTTCTCGTAAAAAAGGATCAAATTCTGCTATTAATTCCATGATGCCCATAAAATTTCCATTATGTGGAGATTCCCATTTTTCGTCATGTCCTCTAAAAGGTAAACCGCGCTCCGATAAAAATTTAACTACAGCTACTACACGCATCATTACATTGAAATAATATTCATTTTCTTTTTGAAGTTGTTCCTCTAAATGTTTATTGATGACAGTTTTCCTCTCCTTTCGTGTTATCCAAGTTAACACTGCGGTTTTATGTTCTTTAGATTCTTCGTGATTATCCAGAGTTCGGTTAATATTGGACCAGTCAGCGTAACCCGACGACTTTAAAGGTATTTTTGATGGAGAAAATAATTTACATACATGGAAAATAGTAGACTGAAATTTTTTTAGGGGAATAACACAATCATGATCTGATTATCTTTTGCCCGTTTTTTAAGAATGTTTCAAAACACATGTTTGTAAATGACCTAGATTATTCTTTATATTGTTTTACGGATTCCGGATAACAACCCTCTGATCTTCGATTTTGAAAAAAAGAGACATCTCGTAATAGGCAGTTTTCAATAAATTCACCAGTAAGTGATTTAGACCAGAGTGCAAGATCGCTATATTTCTCAAAGCTGTCATGTAAATATTCCTTTTTATCATTATCACTTTCATCAATTTTTGAAAACGAGTGACTGTTTTCAGGTAATGGTGCCGGAAGTTGATTTTCTGCTTCTTTTGTTGAGTTCTTAAGTTGATGTGGGATATTAGACTTATTAGACGTGCAATTATCTCCATCCAAATACATTTTATTTTCTGCACTAACACTAGGTCCGGGAAGGAGGAAATATTGGAGAGTTTTATACATTTTGCCAATTCAGCCTTCTGTTTTTCTTTAAGTTTTCGTTTGTGATTCCCACTTAAATATTTTCGTCCGGACATCGCGATTCAAGTATCAAACCTTAAAAATATCCAAAAGAAAATTTTCGAAAAATAGATATATATGAATAAATTAATTTACCTATTAAATGGAATTTGCGATTTTTAATTTTAATAAGTATAGACAGTCTTTGCAATTACAACCATTCACTCATTCACAACGAACTAAGCACTGCACACAAAAAAATAAGAAATTAGATGAGTAACTAATAAACTTTCCGTTTTGCACGAGTGAAAATTACAAACCACCTGTGAACTCTTTGATTAATTTTTCAATATCACAAATAACATTATTTAATAATGCCCCTGGTTTGACGAGTGATATGATTTCAAACGAGTTGTTTACAAATGTGCGCATTTTTTTATGAATAATTTCCCAGATTCGTTGGACAGAATCAAGATTTTATGGCGATTTAATTTGGGAGAGAATTTATTGTCTAAAATTTTATTTTTACTACCTTTTGATAGGCTCAGTCTAATTTCGTTAAAAAGTGAAATTTCCTCTACGTTATCTCCAAACCTACTTTTCCCATGTAATGGGTAGGGGTCATTGATTCCATTATTGGAAACAGAAGAATTTAAGCTGATATCGTGTAAGTAGTCATTTGAAAAATCTTTACTTTTAAAATCAATAAAAGAAGTCGATATGAGATTACTGGTATAGGTGTTAGTTGCTTTTTCAATTATAGCTGTGATCTGTGTGTATTAAAAGTTTGTGTAAAAACATCTTTTTTACCTGAATCCACAGTATTAGAGTTAGCGTTAAAATTATTGACTAAACATGTTAATTTGTCAATTTTAGCTTTTTGTTCAGACAAAAGAACATTAAAATCTTCCATTTTAGTGGCTTCATTTTGAAAAGCTTCAAACTCAGATTTCATTCTTTGGATTCTCATCTCATCTTTTAGGATGACGTCAGCCTTTGCCTCATTAATCTGGTTCTTTAACAAATCTAAATCCGTATTAGGGTTAATATTACTCTCACTAATATTAGTTACCTCATTATTGGGACAGCAAATTATTTTGTTACCTTCTTGTTTTACTTTAATTCGAGGCAAGCAACTTTTATGGAAGACACTTAAACAATTGATACAATTGTGATTTTTGTTTACCACAGCATTTATAGTTGGATAGCGAGCTCGCCATTGCACTAGATGTGTGAGATATCCACTACTTACAAAACAAAATAGACGAAAACGAAAAGGACCCTTCACCAACGACAAAATTATTGGAGTAGCTTATGGCATGGTCTTTCGCTCATAGGGATTGAAACAATAAACAATTGAAACTTCTAACACAGACACTCAACACACGTCCGTCCGCGACCGCGACCGCGAACCAATATCGAATATCTACATACATTCTCTGCACTTTTAGAGATTTTTGTTACGTCCCGTGAAGACTTTACTCTCCCTTATTTTTTCTTAAAAAAAAAAAGTTTAAATATTTCGATTTTCTATTGCTGTTACTGCAACAATACGGGAGGAACAATCTTTTTTTTTTCTTCAATATTTATTTTGCTAAACACTGTGATGATACTGTATCAGGTAAAACGATTGATTCGTTAATTTCATCAAACTTTGTTTGCAAGAACTCAATATAATGATCGGCAGATTTTAAATAGCTTGTTACATGTAATATGGGCAATTCCACCACCGTTACTTACGCTAAAATCGTAAGGGACTTTGCAAAGTTTTTTATTTTAAACTTTCGTCATAAGTGTTTTTACACTTTAATTTTTTAACCTAATCGTAGAGATTTGTTTTCTCTTTTTTCTTAATAATTTGATAATAGTAAAGTCATATTTAATCTAGTCAAAATTTAATTAAAAGTTTGCGTTACTTACGCGACAACTTTGAACCTGCCTTTTGTGGAGTTGATAGATTTTCTCCATTTTGTATGGAATTGTGAATTATCATACAAAAACAGTTATACTGATAAAAAATTTAATTTTCGGGTTTTCAAAAACCGAGAAGAAGTTTATTTTTTATTGTATCGGAAAAGAGAAAAAATTGCGTTACTTACATGATGTCATCGTTTCTTACGCGAACTTGTGAATATTAGCTATATCAGGGAAGTAAGAAAAATTACAAATTCGTGTTTTAAACAAAAGGAAAAGTTGGTCGAAGGTTGTTTAGACAGAACTTCCCTCGCCCATGAAGTACAATGACACATCCAGCATTTTCGAAAAATTATAAAATTGACTTTTCAAATTTAATTTTTTTATGACAACGTCTATAAGTTGAAATAGACAAATATATGTAATGTTAAAGTAAAAGGATCAAATGCTAAAAGAAAAAATATTCAAACTTACCGAATTTACATCGACATTACCATCATTAGAAATTTCCATTTGTCTTCATTTTGGCTTTTCTCGCTTTTCTCTTTTTTATTTTCGTGGTATTTTAACTTTTTTTAGCGCAATGTCTTTTTCTTTGTGCGGATTATGTTTGCCCTATATTCCTGCTGATATTTTCGGTTGGTTGATTTTAGAATTCTGATTGTCCAGTCTCTTTAATTTTTGTCGGTGTTTTCTTACTCTTTTAGTGGATGTTAAAGACATTTTGACTATAAAATCAAATTATTGGTAGATTGATGGTTGTCAAGATTAATTATTTAGTTTCAAAGTTAAGCCACCGAAAGAAAATAATTCCGTTTCGCGTAAGTAACGATGCGATTTTTAATAATAATCACAATCAATAAAAGTACAATGAAAATACAGAGCGAGAACGAGCAAAAGAGATAATGTAACCTGATTTACAATTATTTTTAATGTCCGAATAACATGAAAATTAGTCCCTTATCGTTACTTACACTAATTATCACATATATCAGAAGAAAGAAGTGTGATATTTGTGATAAGTATTGATTGTACATTTTTGTCAATAAAGGTGCACTCACGACCGTAATACAGATATTCGGAAACAACTACACACCGCCTATATTAATACAGTAGAACCCCTCTATAACGAGAACTCAAGGGGGAAGGGGCCATTGGATTTGTTCGTTATAAGCGATTTTCGCAATAAACAACACAGGAAAAAAGCATTCCAAAGCTTTAGAATACAACTTTATTTTCTAAAGAGTGATCGAAACTGAACAAAAACACATTTATTATTCAATAAAGAAATAAAAAATAGCCAATAATTTTAAAATAAAAAAAATCTCTTATTTTCGTTTGTTTTTGATTATTGTTAACTTTAAACATGTCAAGTGCATTTTCTAAATGCACTGAATGATCCAAAAGTTTGTCGTGATGTGGAGTAGAGGTACCCACCAACAAAAAATGACGAATATTTACATTTTAACATAAAAACACTTCTGGTACTTTTTCAGAAAATCATTGGATGACACTTTGTTTTTTGCCACTTTCACATTCGGTTATTATTTACCACTTTTCTTTTGTGGAGAATGCTCTTGTTTTCTTTAAAAACGACATGTTTTTCACATGTAACTACAGAAATAATCAAACTATGGTTGGAGAATGAATATAAAGGCCAAGAATAAAATACAGTACAGCCTCGATAATCCGAACTAATAGGGATCAGAACTTGTTCGAATTATGGATTTATTCGGATTATTGGAATTAATTTTAAAATGAAAGGAATCATCCATTTCTATGTATAATTTTTATTTTTCTACATAAACTACTGCATACATATGTGTATTACCAAATTTAATTAAAAGAAGTAGGTAGATATGTAACATAAAAACAAATTAAATTTTGAAATAACCTTCAATTTTTTTCTGCTTGACAGCTCCAAATCAAAGACGAATTGCTTGATCTTGTAAATCTTTCAACATCAGATATTTGTGCTCTGGAATATTGTTTTTCATACACCAATTTAAACATACGTTAAAGCTTTTGATTGTTTCTGTATGAGAGGCATTTTCATTCACTGGTTCCTGTTCATTACCATCATCACTATCACCTGTGTCATCTATTCTGTCTTCATTAACACTGCTTACGATTTCGTCTTCGGTAAAAAGAATATCTTCATCAGTTGGATTAACCCAATTTTGGACTTCGTTGGATGTAATGTCTGGGATAATTTTTCGACAAAGGTCCTCTATTAAGTTTATCTCTCGTTTTTCTTCAGAATATTTCTTTTGAAGGTAAGATAATGGTTTTAAATCTTCTTCTTCTAGTGTTGCTGGTAAAGTAGGCCATAAATTTTTCCAAGATTTTTGAAGAAGATTTGACGTTATCTTCGACCATGCTCCTCTAAGAGAAAAAACCGCTGCTAGAAGATCAAACTTTTTTAAAATTGTTGTGATGTCTTCATTTTCTTTGGAAATTACGTTTAACAACAGGGATTTTCGATAATACAACTTGACATTTTTTATAACATGTTGGTCCATGGGTTGGATTAATGCGTTACAATTCGGTGGAAGAAATAATGTTTGAAAACTTTTGTCCTCACTAGATAGTTCATCTGCATCTGGATGTCCCGGAGCATTATCAATACAAAGCAAAGCTTTCTGAGGTAAATTCAATTCTTTCATCTTATTTTTTACAGCAGGTATGAATTCTTCGTGGAACCATTCGTGGAAAAGTTCTCTTGTGACCCATCCTTTTCTTTGTGCTTTATACACAACAGGAAGTCGATTAATATTCTTAAAAGCCCTGGGATTTTTGGCTTTTCCAATTACCAGTAACTTAAGTTTGTGTGTTCCTGCTGCGTTGGCACATGGCATAAAGGTGATTCTGTCTTTACTTAGTTTTCTTCCTGGCGCCGATTTTTCATATTAATGGGCTAAAGTTTTATTTGGAAGGACCCTATAGAATAGTCCACTTTCGTCAGCGTTATATACCTGGTCGGGGACTAAATTCATTTGTTTGATTTTATCAAGAAATTTTTGACGGAATGGTTCAACTGCACTTTTATCTGCCGACAGCTTTTCACCAGTTATTTGCAACTGACGAATTCCATGTCGTTTTTTGAATTTATGTAACCATCCACTGCTTGCGTTAAAATCGTCTTTGCCGGTGAGTTTTTGATAGAACCATTTAGCCTTTTCACAGATGAGTTCGCCATTAAGAGGTGTGTGACGTGCTCTTTCTTGCAAAATACATATAAAAAGGGCATGTTCCATTTCGGGGTGTTTACACAGTTTAAGAGTTTCCCTTTGAGGTGTTTCATTGTCTGCATTTGTCAGATATTGATTAATACTGCATCTTTTCTTCTTTATGTCACATATAGTCGATTTGCCCACGCCATATTGCATTGCCAGTTGTGTAACGCATTCACCTTCATCTAATGCTTTTAAAATTTGCAGTTTTTTTTTTATAGGAAGCGTAACATGCTTGCGCTTCGACATTTTGAACTAACCTACGTGGTGTTCTTTTCTGAAATCTAAACGTGCAGCTGCAATATTATGTCTAGACACTTTTTTATAGTTTCCAGAAATCGTGTTCAGAAACATGTACGGATTATTGAAATTTGTTCGGATCAAAGGAGGCTGAAATTGCCATTTTTCGTTGTTTGGATTATTGGAAGTTCGGTTTAAAGTGTGTTCGGATTACAGACGTTGCACTGTAGTACAAAGACAGCATTCTACGAATATTATACTCCTGATAAATTTACAAAAATTGAGACGCTTTGTTGTTAAACAGGTGTCGTTTTTATATGCATTTTCAAGAATTGCATTCGTTATAACCGATCTTAGTCGTAAAATTTCTCGCTATAACCGATCTGGGGCGAAAAATTATTTCGTTATATCAGATCGGTTACTAAAAGCTACTCGTTATAAAGCGATATTTTTATATAGAGTAGCATATATAAACATCCAGGGTCCAAGAGAATTACTCGTATAGCCGATTTTTCGCTATAAGCGGTACTCGTTATAGAGGAGTTCTACTGTAATAATCCTAATATTCGGGCACATAACGCAAGGGTCGACAAAAATCGCTATATATTATGCCGATTGATAATGTGCATAAAATTTTGTGGAGTGTTTGAACTTGGTTTACGTGGACATGACGAAAGTAGGGAATCACAAAATCCAGGTATATTTCGAGGTCTGGTTGATTATACGGCTGAATTGGACTTTGCTTTATCAAATCATTTGAAAGATGCAACGGTTTTTAAAGGAATGCCTAATACTGTTCAAAATGAACTTTTAGATGCCATGAACGTAAAATTTTAACCGAAGGCAAAGAGGTATGTGGAGAAATCCTTTTTTACTTTTATTGAATGTATTTTTGTATTTATTTCAGTTACATAATTTCGTCTATTAATTGGTAATAACAACCTGTTTTATATCTTCATATTTAACTCATCAATCAAATTGTGTCCCCCCATTTCAAAAGGTCATGAGCCGCTACTGAAATTTGAAACGTTGGAAGCTGTTAGAAAGATAAGAACTAATCAATTTTAACAAAGTATAGTAATGTTCGGTTATTACGAACCTCATGGGACTGGGAAAAGTAGTTCGTTATATCCGAAGTTCGTTATAAATGATCTCAAAAAAAATCAATACATACTTTGATAAACTGAACTATGTATTTCAGGATGCAACATTTAAAAGTATTACAAAAATATAAACATGTAAAGATAATAATACAGTAGTACATATAAGAAAAAAAAACTTGATTAATAAAAAGTTGTTACTTAAAATAATCTCAAATTTTACGTTGCTTCTTGTGAGAAAGATTAATTTAAGAGGGTTTTGGGATCGTTCCCTCTTTTTCTTCTTCTTCTTCGTTATCATCATCGTCTTCAGTCTCATCTTCTGTCTGAATGTTGCATTGAACTAATTCTACAATAGCAGCATCATCCAAAATTTCAGACTTCACTAAAATATCGTCAAAATGGACGTATTCTTCGAAGTCGATATCAAATTCATCGTCAGAATTGCTTTCGTGCTTTCTCAGCAATTCAGCCAATAGTAGTTCGTCTTCTGGGGTGGGATTTTGTTTCTGTAACGATAAAATATCGGTACCGATAAAATGTGGTCGTCTTTTTCTTTCGCATCTGAAATTTATATTTTCGTCCTTGTCATTTATCGCTTCGTATCGTATCGTATCGGTAGAAACAAAATCCCACCCCTGCCCTGGTTCAAATTTTTCCTCACACTGGAGAAACCCAGCATGTCGAAAACAATTAGCAATTGTTTGTTCTGATACTTTTTGCCATGCCATACTGATAAAATTGACGGGATCTAATAGATTCACACAAAAGTGTTCCTGTCCATTGTCGAGACTGCTGAAAAAGTTCGTTATAAACGATTTTTTTTTCTTAAATATTAAAAATTTGGTTCGTTTTATCCGAAAGTTCGCTATAAGCGGGTTCGTTATAATCGGAAAAAAATAACACGTATCTTATAGTACTTCAGTTCGTACTTTGCAAGTTGGTTCGTTTGCCTACGAAGTTTGGAACCATTATAAATGTCCCGACTAAAATATCGTGAACATATTCTATGATTTCGTAACGAATCACCAGAACATTTGACGCCCATGTTGTTTTGCCATACCTACAATGCAAGAATAATTAAAAGTTATAATTTCAAGGCACACATTTCTGGGAAGACAATGCATTTGAATTTCCTGACTATTCGTTGCGCCACAGACTACACAGACAATCCAAAAATTAAAACAACATTTCAAATTCAAAACAAAACGTACTTCAATGACGTTGAAAATCACTAGAATCTAGGTATTTTTTCTAAAAATTTTTAAACCAGTAACAGTGCTATCTGTTCGCACGAGAACGAACTGGGGTGACATCTGCGTTCATCTTTCACTTGGAAAACAAAGTAAGACATATCCCGAAAAACAAGTTTTCTTGCATAAAAATTTTGTTTGTGGCACAATGCAACCAAATTTTCAGGAGACACTAGCCTTTCAAACTAGTAAACTGATGTAAAATTTATTGCGCACCACATTTAGGCAGAAATTTCAGAATGTCCAAACGTCCACGTCCGAACGTACCCCACTCTCTCCTACTTTCAATGGCGTTGTTCCAAAGAATCCGTAAAAAGATAATTGTCCTCTTCAGTTTATTGTTGCGACATATTTGCTTGGTGTTGCAAAATTCCTGGATTTTTACCAAGAAGCGTCGGTAAAGATGTAATTGACACTATGAGTCCTTTTTTAAAGGTTTGGAGAGTGTTTTTGTTAATAGCACGCATACCACGCATCATGTCTTTCATGTCGTCTAAAATTTTATTTTGTGCTTCAAAGTTTATTCCAAATGGCAGCTTTGTAGGTACTTCGGCATTTGGTGTGTAACTGTTGTTAGAATCGGCCAGGTTTGGTCTCTGATCGTCACGGTAATAAGAATTGTTTTTAACTTTAACTACATTTATTGGACACTAATTAACACAAATTACGATACATCTTTACACTCCTAACGGCCTTGCTGGCTCCTCGTCAATCCTCGGGTGGCATCGTCGGTTCCGTTCGGTTGGCCAATCACGAAACCCTGTAAATTTGAAAAATTCGTGCAGCGCTAACACTGTTCAGAACATCAAACCAATTAGTTACAAGGTCTATAAAATTTGCGACATTTTCTGGCAGATTCTTATCCTGTCCAAGCTTATATAGTTTTAACCCAGATATGCCCGAATTATTTAGTGATTGAACATTGTGTATAAAAGTACATTTTCATGTGATTTTGGGTAAAAAAATCAGGGAAAAATATTGAAAAAATTCTATGCTTTTTAGTTTTGCAAAAAATTACTGGTCTTTTAAAAGGACAGTAGGCATTAGCGAGTAGTACATACCTAATTTTACAAGCAACTTTATTGAAAATATTTATTACAAATATTCAATTTAAATTTATGTGATATAGCAAGAGGCATTCAACATGCAATGCCACATCACACTTTGCACTTTTTCGTTGAATCTTTTTATGACACACTCTGCAGCGTGTCTGTTTTTTTTTGGATACAATATAATGGTCTTTGTTGTCAAATCGTGATTCACAATGCTCCATTGAATGTGGTCGTCCTCTCTTTTTGCCGCTACTTTGATGAGACTCAAGTAATGTCTCCGCGATTTGCCTTCGAGAATTGAGGTGATCCAATTTTCCTCCTAAACAACGATGCAACTGCCATGCATTTTGTTCGGCTATGTCCAAGCAGTAGGCGATTATGGGAAAATACCACTTTTTCCCTCCGATTGCTACTTTGTACAGGCTGATATTTTGGTCACATCTGTCCACACCTCCCATGAAAGAATTATATTTATGAATTAGATGTGGTTGTTCGACTAGGACACGTTTCTTTTCTTTCCGAGAATAGCGAGAGACTTTATCGACAGCATATACTGGAAGAAAAGCAACATTCACCAAATTGTTATCATTCCACTGGACTACAACAAACTTATTTTCGGTTGATTTGTAATCAAATGTTCCTCTTGATTTTTTCTTTTGACAAAATGGGACATTTCGACATCCGATTTCTTTCATTGTTCCTGTAGCGTTTATGTTCCTTTTATGCAGCTCTTCTAACAAAGGAACTGTAGTAAAGAAGCTATCACAAAATATGTGATAAGGAAAATTTCCCATTTTTTGAAGTACATCAGTGTATTGAAAGAGTACTGACGGACCTAATCCAAAATCTCTGTTGAGGGATTACTCATAATAATAATATTAATAATAATAATAATAATATGATGTGGGTATGATTCCTGTAATATGTTCCATGCTGATTACATATTACTGGCATTGTGTGTTATAAGAACTTGAACTTTTTCTTTTCCTACGTCATTTATAGCATCACAGACATAGTTTTCCACCTGTGTCTGATTCAGCTCTTGTATCGATTCCTCGATAAAATATGGGAAGTGGTCTTAAAAACATTATGTTAACATATGGATTTCTATTTATATCGGTCCATCCATCTAACGTTAAACATAACGATTCCGAGTATATTTGATAATTGGACTCGTGACGGCACTTGGAATGACGGCCGAATCAACTTGAAAAATTCTTGCCATTGTAAATTGTGAACAATATTAAACGATTCCATCTGGCTAGGGATGTATCCAATAATTCTTGCTCATTTTTGGGCATTTTATCAACAAAGGCTAAAGAGCCAGAAGAACCTCCATAGCTGGCTTGACTTACATTTGAGACAGTTATGGTTGAGGCGGTTGAGATAACAACAGATTAAGAAACCTTCAAATTATAAATATTTAGTTCACTCCTACAGTTGATTGAAATTAAGAGGACCCGGGTGGGTTAGGTAGCTTCGTGCTTGCCCGCTACACCTTGGGTCGTGGGTTCGATTCTCGCCCGGCTCTGGGTGTTGTGTGTGTTCCCCTGTAATTGGGCCACCGGCCTGTAGGGGAACGTAATCAAATAAAATAAATAAAA